AAAAGGCAGAAGAGAAGATTTTTGCATTATCTGAAATGATTTCGTTGGTAAGTCTTGGGTCGCGCAGACTTTCGATACGTTAAGATCGCCGGCTTGTTGAGAGTCGAGGGTCTTCTTGCATGGAGACAGGAAGACACGGCCAGCAAAGTTGTCAACACAAACGAAGATCGAGTCGTAATGAGAACGAGTAGACGGGAAGCCGGAAACAACATCGATGGAGATTGTAGCAATACGATCAGACGGAGCTGCTTGACTGTGCGACGGTCCCATCTGTGGCTTGCGATAAGATTTGTATTGGATGCAAGATTGACAGGAAAGGATATAACGTTCGACTTGTTGACGCATAGAGGGCCAATAAACAACAGGAACAAGAGCCAAATATGTTCGAGAGAAGCCGCGGTGACTGTGAAGGTCATGGGCACGGTATAGAAGTTCTTTGCGAACAGATTGAGGAATGCAAATGCGTTGTCGGTGAAGACTATCTGTTAGAATCAGGAGATGATTTTCAATGTGAAAATACTTGTACGATGGGTTGTTTTGAACTGCTTGATAGATTGTAGAAAAGTATAGAGGGAGGTAACATGTTGGCAGTCGATCAGAAGTTTATTGATGAAGAAGTCGGAGACCTGGAAAGGAGCATGGAAGAAGTAAGACGCAGTTGCTGCTGCTAGTCAAGATCTGATTATGCTTTGCAGGCTGGATGAGGAGATTTTAGATGAGAAGCTGAAGGTGATGGAGATAAAGATGTTTGGGGGAGAGGACGGAAAGGAGGATTTCCCAGAGAGATGTAGTGCAGCAGCAGCAGCAGCATTTCTTCTGTTTGGTCTCAATGCTTCTTCAGGTGGAGATGGTCGAGAGGAAGCGGATCGACAAGATCGAGAGCAGCATTGCATTCCTGGTTGTGAACCTGCGAGCGCTGGCGAGAAACCTTCTTAAGGTGAGGAGGAAGCGACGAGGAGAGGGCGGGGAATTGACGACGATGCGCAGGAGGAGAGGAGCAACAAGCTGCTGCAGGAACAGTCGTTGCTCCTGCTGGGGATGAAACAAGGAAGCAGCTACCAGAGTCTGAGAGAGATGAGCTCCTTGAAAAGTGAGTGGAGGAAGCAGGAGGAGGAGGTGAAGGTGGTGGTGGTGGAGGAGGAGGACAGGGAAGCAGGAGAGGGAAGGAGGGGGAAGGGGGTGGGGAAGATGGAAAGGAGGAGGGGAAGGAGGGAAAAGGCACAAGCTGGCAATGAAGAGCAGCATTGGGAGGGAACAGGGAGAAAGATACAAGAAAAGGAGGAACAGGACGACAGTCGTGGTCGGGTAGCGAATGGGGAAGCTAAGTTGTAAGAGGAGCTGAGAGAGCCAGGGAGCCAGGGAGCCAGGGAGCCAGGGAGCCGAGGGGCGAGGAGGAGAGGCAAAGAAGGAAGCAGCGAGGGGCACTAGGGAGAGGAAGTGACGGCTGACAGCGAGAATCGCAGGCGGGAGATGTTGAAGATGGAGGAGGAGGAGAAACAAGACCTGAAGAAAATGAAGTCGATCAGAGTCCGGGCAGAGGCAGCAGACGCGTACAACATGTGGAAGAACGGCGCGCTCGACGACCTGCTGCTGACCGACAGGACGAACAAGTCCAGCAAGGTACATC